CACTCTGAATTCGGGTGTAGGGCACTTACTAACACTCAAAGTTTGTTCATTACATCCCATAACGACACAGCTGCAACATTGCACGCGGGGGTGTATTTTCCCACACCCCACATGTGCCCAATCTGTATTACGTCGCCAACATAACATGGCCTCACTCCTCTAAAAATTGCCGCAAGAATCTCTACATGCCAATAAGATCTTTGAAGGTAGAGGGGCCAAGGAAATTGGATAGTTCATGTGAACATTAGTCTTTCGTGTTCACACGCACCCCTTCGCAATGTTATTGCTATTTATAAGCAAGTGTAATATAGCGATCGACTGGAAAAACCCTAAGAACCGTAATACTTGGATATGTAATGAATCGTGGAAGCGTGAATTGATGGAAATATGGGATCATGCTCACCCAGTTTGTTTATTAGCGAAAACTTGTTTATCTTTTCATCAGTATAATCAATACTTTAGTTGAGTTGCATAGTTTAGAAGAGACGTGTATCAAAATTGTGTTGCTCTTTTGGTCCACATCTATATTGTGTTTTATGTTTAAATTACGTATTCGTTACCCGTGAAATAGAAACTGTTAGAGTAAATTTTGTTGCGTAAATAAATGCTCTATATTGAGGTATGTCTAAAAGGTACCTAATAATTATTTTAAATACACTTGCGTAAGAACCCTGCCAAGAAGTCGATATATCGTGGAAACTAGTAAACTAACAGTGGTGTAAACATTGCTATAAGATTTTTGTATTATTAAACACTCAATGAGGGAAGTTTCGATTTCGTCGTATGAATTTTAATTTTATTTTTTTATAACCATTAATTCAACGCAATTCTGGTAGGGTCTGTGAGGGCACCTACACTTATGTATCCACTATTTGTACTAAGAGCAAATCCACAGTAAATCCACAAATAGTGGATACCTAAGTGTGGTCACCGACTGTAGTACTACTGCATACATTATGTAAAAATGGTCAAATTACAGGCATACGTGACTTTTCAACTTGTCTCAGGGTAGGCGCAGTGGCATTGTTCCCCAGATCTTTGCGATTTAAAGGTCTGAGTGCCACTGCAACTGCGCAGGCGAGACGACTTGTTCGTACCGTCATTTGGTACCACAAAAAAAGTCTGTCTATTATATGTCATTAATCGTGATGCTGTTTGTTGTAATACAGTATTTTGTGTAACAACTATTTGAAACTATTCATATAATCTCTTATCATATCTTAATCAATGATGTTTATGTATTAGATACGATACGATACCATACGACAGAGATGTAAACGGGAAGGAAATAAAATTTGCTCAATTTTTTCCCCTCACAATGGTGGAGTCGGCTGAGTGCGTTACAGATAAATTGTATTATATGTACTTATTGTTGTGCCAGAAGGCACAAATAGAAATCGGATAAAAGTCAAAAGCTGTCAATGGTTAAATGTTTTGAGAAAATTTAATATTTTATTTGGCATCTTTTATTATAAGAACCGTGGAGGAATGGAGTTAATGAAGTATGGTGTATAACTGGGTAATTTTCAGGTTAGTTTTCTCTGCCTAATTTTGGTGGCAATGTTTATTATATGAATATTATAGAATATGAGGTCTTATTGAATATTCGACCGTAGTATCCTGAAATATTATTTAATATTTTACAATAATACACTCGAACACTTAAATACTAAAAAAAACTAACCACAAAATTACCCAACGCAGGTTCAAGTTTAATTAAGAGTCTGGGAACTTCGATATATACATATAATAAGTGGCATCTGTGCATTCACGCATGCGTACCTATTGATTACTTATTATCCATGAAACAATCATAACAGTATAATATCATTGAGCATAACTATTACTACACACTTCAAGCATGCAACGCAAAAATACAAGGGCGTTGTTATTATGGAGAGTCTTCGGGCTTCAAGTTGCCGGGCACACCTCGGTCTTAAACAGGTTACGTTTAAGATCAAGGGGTGTCCGGAAGGTACAGTCAGACGGAAGATTGGTTACATCCGGACAGGATCCTCTGTCCTGGATGTGATCAAAGCGGCACAACCGGGAACGAGTGCCCAGACTGCGGCGGTTCGAACAAAGCCTGGCACAGTCATGGCACTCAATGATGGCCTCGGGGGGACCAGGCCATGGTTTTCCGCACCGAACCCGTGTGGCCGAGGTATGGCACGTGGAGGTGTGCAGCAAGAGCGTGGAACTGCCAACCCGCGTTCCCACGAGGACGGCCACGTCCTCCTTGTAGCGCTCGGGGGCAGAATTGCGGCCGGGGCTTTAATCCCTGCTAAATGGTGCCCAAGGGGGGAAAGGGTGAGGGTTCTCCAAGCAAACCTCCACCATGCCGTGGCTGCCACGGTTGTGGTGGAGTGTTGCTTTGCGAAAGGCAACGTGGATGTCGCCCTCATTCAGGAACCAAGGGTTAACCACACAAACATAATGGGACTCAATACCTCTGGTAACTTTTTGATTGGTTGATTTACAACACTTGTGGGAGTAGACCTAGAGCTTGCATTGTTTATAACAAAAACATTAACCTTATGCCTGTTCTAGAGTTCTGTACTGATGACTTTGTAGCGGCATATTTACTTCCCCGGGGTAGCACTCAGGCCAAGGTAATAGTATGCTCATCCTACCTACCCGGAGAAAAGAATAAACCCACGGAAGATCTGACACGACTGGCGGAATACGCTCGGCAGTACAAGGCGGATCTTCTGGTGGGATGCGATGCCAACGCTCACCATACCGCCTGGGGAGCTCTAACATCAACAATAGAGGTGAGTTATTATATGACTTTATCCTATCGAATTGCCTGTATCTTAACAACGAAGGATGTACACCAACTTTTCTTACTAGATCAAGATAAGAAATTCAGGACATTATTTTCTCCACAGCTAGACTAGCCGAACTTATAGCCGACTGGCATGTTATTGAGGAAACTTCAATGTCAGATCATAAATTCATAAAATTTGATCTGGGGGCAGAAGGTGCCTGCCACCCCATCACATTTAGGAATCCGAGTGACACTGCCTGGGATGTCTACAGAGAAAGACTAAGGCAGTATCTACAGGGGTGTCCTAAACCGATCAAAATCACTCAGAGTCAAGAGCTAGCTATTGAGGTCACCTCCAGGGGCATCCTCAGCGGTTTCGAGGAAAGCTGTCCCCTAACAATTCGTATCTTCAATAGGAAGGACGCCAAACTCAGGAAGCTAAGAGAGAAAACTCGAAAACTCTTCAATGGGGCCAAGCTAACGAAGTAATGGGAGATATACAGGAAGGCCCTAACCAATTATAATAAGGAGATAAGTAAGGCCAAGCGAGCGTCGTGGAGGCGGTTTTGTGAGGAAATTGCTGGTACTCCTCAAGGTACATATCTCCATAGAGTGTTCGCCAATGTCAATTCTCATCAACCAGGACTGTTAAAAATAATAAAAATAGTAATAATAACACACACACTCAACATAGCCCAGCACTAGGGAAACCCTGAGTCGCGGGTGCCATGGACACACGAATTATCTATTAACGCGGAAAAGATCACCATCCACCAGTCCTCTTCACTAGGAATTAGAAACTAGATAAACTAGTGGAACCGATACACGCCGGTATACACGGCGTGAGACCCAAGCTCAGCTATAAGCTGAATTTGGAACAATACTCCTCTATCTTTCAGGCGGAAATGTACGCCATAATTGCTTGTGCGGATTTGAACCTGAAGAGAGGCTACGTTAACAAGTATATTTACATAAACTCAGATAGTCAAGCCGCTCTACATGTAACCACTGTCACCCAAACATCGAGGATTGTAGAGAACTGTGTGACTATACTGAATGCTCTCGGGGAAAGGAATAAAGTGGTCCTACGCTGGGTTACAGGTCACTCTGACGTCAAGGGAAATGAGACAGTAGACCAACTGGCAAAGGTTGGTGCTAGGGAAACCTTTATTGGACCCGAACCCTTTATAGGGATAGCATACAGCACACACGTCTCTCGAGAAATGTGGCTACAGAGTAAGGGTCTTGAGCATTCAAAATCCCTGATAGCCGCCTACAGTGCCAAACACTGTAGAGAAGCTCTGTCATTGGATAGGAATGGTATCAGAATGCTCACTAGAGTGTTAACAGGACATTGTGGCTTGAACAAGCACATGTCAAATATTGGGCAGAGAGAGAATAGAGAGTGTAGATTCTGCCACGAGGCGGATGAAATTCTGCTCATCTTCTCACCGGATGTTACCTCCTGGTATACGAAGCTCCATACTGGGAAGGCACATGCCACAACCAGAGGACATTAAATCTGTCGGAACCAGGAAAGTCCTTCAGTTCTTCAATGTTGTCGGCCTTGGCTCCGAACTGTAATTAGTGGTGATCACAATAGATCAACTGATGGTCGCAGTGATGAGGAGCTACATATGCCCCGGATGAAACCACCCTAACAATAATAATAATATTATTGTATCTGTAAAATTTTTTTACTTCTTGCATTATCTATACTGAGCTAGGACGTTAATATTTTCAACTACATTTTTGATAAGTGTAAGCCATTACCATATTCAGGGCACAGCGGTACGAAGGTCCCCCTTAATTCCGTCACTGTTCCCACCCATCTGAATCCCAATTGTAAGCAATTATTAACCTTCCCTCCCCCCTTTTGCGCATTTCATTCAACCCGTCATGGGCCACCAGTTCGGAATAGGGATCGCTTTGAAATGGGTACTTGTACGTACCACGATCCTTGCTTAATGGCACTTATCGCCTAAAAGGGAAAGTATTATTGTTTATCTCTTTTGTGACCTGTTAGGGCGTGTTGGTATTTACTTTTAGAGGCTTTACGACTTTTGCTGTAGATAAGGCCACTTAGAGAGTGATAACTGTGTAACAAGGTGTAACATTTGTACAAAAGTAACTTATTTGTTGCCATTCGGTTTTGCTGATTTTCAATACAAGGAAACTATTAAATGTTATGTTGTTAAATTGATAAATATAAATAAACCGTAGTACATACCGCTTCAATACCCCGTTCGTGGAAATCTGTAAAAAAAAACCTGTATGAGTAAAAATGCATGAAACAAAAAATACGTTCTGACGACCTTGGTGGCCCGATGGTTTATACTGTGGGTGCTGGATGAGGGAAGTCTCGGATTTGACTCCCGATAGGACCGATTTGGGAAATGAACTTTTCTAAATTGATTCTGGTCTGGGTGTACAGGGATGGGTCCCGTTGCTCTGGTACTCATAGTACGGGGAATTCCCTAGTTTGCGACCAGGCAATTGGTGTGGTTGTTTGGCACAACATTATTATTATTAATGATCGCACAAACTTAAAGTTGAACGCTTGAACTGTGAAAATTTCTACAATATTCCTGAGTGCGACTTACGTGTTCCAAATAGGAAAAACTACTAAAGTTATTCCTTAAGTCGTTGAAAGACTAAGTACAAAGACACGACGCAACACATAGAAAAATTCTAAAAAATGAGGTCCGTTGGTTCGTTCCGTGGCTTAGTTGGTATAGCGTCTGGCACGGTATGCAAGAAGACGTCGGTTCGAATCAGAAAAATAATTGAATATCAATTCAAAAAAAATTTAATTATTCCTTTTCCTCTCCTTATTCATACGGTTCATCCTCAGGTTTCATATGAAACTTACCTTGGTTACTATAAAATGAGATTTTGAAGTGTCTGGGTAACTTTTGATTTAGTTATTACTTGTGTCACTAAATTTATTCGGAGAATAAGGTTGGAATGTTGATGCAGGTACGTTGTGTGTGTGGATAGGAGAAACGTCCGAAGGCATGAATTTGGATACTGATAAGAATTAATCTGTTTTGTATGTGTGTGTCTTGAGTGGATTTTACTTTTATCTTACTTTCATATTCACTTTGTACGAGTCTAGTCGCGTCTGCAATGTTTAAGAGCGAATACTTGGTATTAACAGAGATTTAATTAGCCATTAAGAAAGCGTAAAAAAGAACAATGTAACCATATGTTGCGCAGAGGAAGAGATGCTTAAAGCACGTAGAGTATACACATATAAATAACATCAAAGAAGCTTCCACTGAGAGAGATTCGAATAAAAATAAAGAAATAAACAACTTCTAATTTGCAATCGTAGCATGTGAAATTAAACTGCTATTAAAGAATAAATAGTTCAGAATGTACGTTTAGAATCCGTCACAATTCGAAT